CCTCATTTCCTTGTTAACCCACTCAATATTACGGTGTGTTAAAAAAATTTAAGTGTCATATTTTTTATTTTTTTTTATTTTAAGAATTATCGTGAATAATGATCTGTGTTTTTATTATTTAGTTAAAATACACAAAAGTATACCCCCGTAATTCCATAAGTAAAATATTATTAATAAAGAAAAAGGCATAAATTATTTTTAAATTAGTTTTTGTGCGAAAACCTATAGTACATCTGCTTTGTGTTGATTCATAACTATCAAAACATAATACCTATTCATCAGATACATTTACATGTGTTAGTGTCTTTTCGAAATATCAATAGAAAGGTGTTCTTGAGTACATAAAAAAAAAAAAAAAAAAAAAAAAAAATACGTTGTGGGCAGAGGGTATTAGGGAATACGCACGGCTTCGCTTATTTTTGCACCTCTGCACAGTGCAATTCAGAGACCCACTGGTAAGCCTGTGCTTATCACTAATAAATAAAACTTTTAATACCGTAAAGCATAAGAGTTCGTTTAACCGTGAATATAAAATGTTAATTTCAAAAGTAAATAAGAAATAATCACATCCAATCTATATAGTTTGTTAAAGGAAGGGATATTTTTACTTGAAACTAGAATTTCTTATTCAAATAATGAAAAAATTGTGATATTCTTTTCAATGTAAATTACGTTGCTGTAAAATTTGCTAGTTTTAACATATTCCTTTGTTAATCCGATTTTGAGGTCAAATATTCTTTACTGAGAAATAATTTTGTGAAAAGAATAATAAAAATTGAAATACACGTGAACATGGAATAAGTTATGAATCTTTTGTATCAATTAGAAGAAAAAAATAAAGCAAAAAATCTAAAATTCAAAACGCTTATTGAATGAATTTTTACAATAATTTTCGTCATATTGCAGACGTTATAATTCTAAATTTAAGTAGCAAAATATCCTTTTAATACGAATAATTAATAATATTAAATGACTGCATTCAATTCTTATAATGTTTTCTTTTTTAATACAGAATGCTTTAAGTTTTTGTTTGAAATTTGTATATTGTTTGAAATTTATATATTGTGCATTTTTTGCATTCTTGTTATTTAATGTTTTAAAGCGCTTTTTCCCATGATTTGCTTAGAATTTGTTGTTTTTTTTTTCCTCTCTCTCTCTCTCTCTATCTCTCTTAAATGTTACAATTATCGTATAATTATTGTTTGCGTGTTTTAGGTATCAAGACGAAGATCGAGATCTCGAGACGCAAATGCTCTCTAAAGATATAAGATTGACTTCCGTTAACAAGCGTGGCTCCAAATATTCCGTTTAATGTTTTAAGCAGTATTGCCGATAAATTCGCATCGTATGTTCGCATGTTATCTTCGTTATCACAAATTGCAAATAAAAGACTGGAATTACTTGAAGAATGAAGAAAAAATCAAATCAGTTTTGTTTATTACTCGTCTTTTCTGTTTAGTAACAAGGAGTAAGCCGTTTTTCGCGCCTCAATTTTCATCATTTTGTACAATACAATAGAAAAGATCTATGAACTGAAGAACTTTTAGAAATATTGCTCAAATAGATTGTACTATAAACGATAGTTGACGATTTATATTAAAACCGCGCGATGTGCTTATGAATATTACTGATAAAATGGTACTACGAATAATGCCAATGATATATAATAAAAATCAAATAGTGTTCTTGATGATCGAATTTAGAGATTGAATGTTCATATATTTAAATTAAATTTTTATCTCAATAGAAACGTAAATATACTACACTGTATTCTTCATAGTAAACGAGAATAGAACGTAAATATAATAATTAAATAAAAGAGAGAGAGAGAGAGAGAGAGAGAGAGAGAGTAAATATTTTTGATGGATGATGTATGCGAACGAATTAAAAATGCCTGATATGTATATTCTGTGAGTTAACAAAGCAAAAAGTCTATTTTTATGTTTGCAAAGAAAGAGACTGGTATAGTTATTTTAAAAATAACAAAGGATATTGATTGTTGTAAGGTAGAATTAAATAAGTCACTGTATAGTCAATTTTTTTACAAAAACTGTAGTTGTAAAACACGAGGTAACAATTAAGAATTATTGATTGAAATTATAAAATGTGATTCATATATTTTAAAATAAAATTTTATTCTCAAAGTATTAAGAAGAAATGTTGGTTCAGATTCAAAAGATTTACTATATTGGATATTAATGTTTTATAACACGATTAAGCATACAAAAATTAAGTAATAATATCATAAAAAATTACACACGTATGTTCAATTGTAATATATTAATCAAGAGAACTGATTCGAAAATTCACTTAACAATCAAGTTTTTATAAAATAATTTGTACGTACATAATGAAATTATATAATAGTTTTTACATTGTATTTTATCATACACTCACTTCGTAATAATTGCTACTAAGTTTCTTCTTAATTATAAATTAAATTATAATCCAATAAAATTAATGCAAAGCACTACCATATCTTTTGATATAAAATCATAATTAAGTTTAAATCGAAGCAGCGTGTATGGATTTTTAAGTGATTAATGCGAATTGTGTACGCCAACCAATCAAGTGAACTTAAATTATCTATTGGCAAGAGTGCTAAGTAGTGGTAATTAAAAATGCTCTTCTTAAATGAAAGACAATGTCGAACTTAATGAAATTTTTATGTAAATTTGTTAAATACGGAATAGACATAAATCACAAAAATGTGAGATCCGATGCAAAAACCATTCAGCGTATGGATTTATATCGACAGTTCGGTATTATATTCTATAAAGGTATATTAGTTATTATGTAATTAACTTTAATTTTTATTTTTTTAAACGTAAGCGATTTGAAAGCAGTATAAATGAATAATTAACTCAATCATGTAAAATTATATAAAAATATTTTTCCCGTTACAACGAACGATATCATATCGTTTCGTAATATTGTAATTTATAGATAATTAAACCTAGTCGAATGAATAAAAGTCAAATAGTTTTTTTTTTCTCGTAAATTAATAAAATAATCATATTTTCAGCCCAATAAAATTTAATGTGAAATTTATAAGTAAAGAGTCTCGATAATGTTTGTATTAATCGACGTTAGAGTGATACATTAGGAAATTTTCAATTTTAATCGATACGCTGGGCATGCATTTGTACATATTTATATATGATTTATATTAATTAAATATTAAATATGTATGATTTGTACAAACGTAATAGTACATAGTTACAATTTAGTTGTAAGGTCCAGACAAATTTAATGCGACTAAATGTAACTGTAAGTCCACTAACATGACGAAAATAGCCAAACATTTTACTTATGTTGCCTACCACTACGCTAATTTTAATAAATGCTTTTATATTAAAATATCCAGTATTTAGATTGATTTTTATTTATCCCATTATTCATGCAGTCGAATATATGATATTTATGCAGAAAAATGCAGACAAAAAAAGTTTTTATATGGAATAGACCTTTCGAGAAATAATAGAATATTCGCAAAAACCCATCTTTACCCGTCATTATTTTAGTTTAAGCTATTTAATTTCTTCAAATTTTCCATAAAAATTGATAAGAAATAATAATATAACATTCACATTCTTATATATATATATATATTCCGTGTTTAAAATCTTTAATATTATTCAAAATCCATATTTCATGATTCTGTATACCACAGACGAATGTAAAATTTCAAGTGTTTAACGTATTATGGAAATTAATAAAATACTGTTGTTATTTTTACTTTTGAGTTTAAAAAAGAATTGTTTATTCATTATTTATAAAACAATGTACAGGACCTATAACATATGTGCAAAGGTAAAATAAATTCATAATAATGAATCGGAATACAAAATCAATTTAATCATCAAAGTATAACATTATTTACAACATTAAATGAAACTTTAATTTCATTAAAAGAAAGTTATAGAATTTTTGCTTTCAAGAAATTATTTAGAAATTATTTTATTATCTATGTCGTGCAAAGGATTAAGTGACATTAAATAAATAATAGATAAACAATTAATATGAAATAATCCACTTTTACATTTAGATTACTTTTTATTTCAAATAAATGGTAACTTTTTAATTATAAGGCTTATTATTATAAAGCAATATTATAATTCTAATGTAAAAATTATTATAATAATTTATAAATAAAATATATTTATTGAAAGAAAATCGAAATTTTTTATTTCTGAACCCTAACAGCAAATTGTTTATGAAAAAACTTCTTTTTATAGTACTTCATTTTTAACTTCTATACCTACTAATAACCTGAAAATTATACTCGTTTTATTTATTAAATACAATCAATTTAATAATTGGCTTTTAATATCTAAAAAGGAATATTAAAAAAAAAAAATAAAAAAAAAAAAAAAAAAAAAAAAAAATAGTTAATGAATAGGAAATAGGAAAAGGTATTAGTATTTTATTACTTTTGAAAACATTGACAATGCTTTCTTTTATCTAATTTATTAAATAATTTCATGTATAGTCTATACGTTTACATCGTACAATAATTTTTGTAAACAAAATTAAATTTATATATATTTATAATTTATATATTGTTTAATCTGTTGGAATTATCTATTGTTATGATTTAGATTTTCATTTAGATTTCTACGTATTATGATTTTAAATAATCAAAATATCTTATTAGATACACAATCAATGGAATAATATTTTACGGAATTTAATCATAAATCAATTTATTAAAATTTGTCCAGTGCATTGAAAGAACATACTTTTTACAATTTTAATAATTTATAAATTAATATAACTCGTATTAAATAGTCGTCCTTAAATAGTAATGCCAGATTAATTGCGTATTAAGTAAGAAATTACTAATAATGTAAAAATGAATTAAAAACAGTATGTTATATCTTAAAAATGTAATGACATATTTATTTTAAATACATTACCAATTATTTACAAAATATATACAGATTTATGTTATATACAATAACATTATTTTTAATGATTATATTCTAAAATAACACAGGCATAATTTTGTATTTAATCCATTTTGATATCTTCTTTCTTTATTTGATCTTTTGTACTTATTATAGCTTTCGATGAACCTTTTATTCTCTTACTAATAAAATGCTTTTCTATTTTTCTAAATGGACCTTCGATCCCGATTGCAATTAATAGAGCTATGAGAAAGGAAAATATAACATCTGGCACAAAGTCCCAGAGCTGTAAAATTCAAATCAATTATACATTATTACTATAGATGAATTATATTATGAAATTCTAATATTAAAGGATAAATTTAAAGGAGCAACTTGTTAATGAGAGTTAATAAAGTGTTAAAGGTATATAAAATCTTTAAAAAATTAAAACAAAAAAGGTATATCCGGTTGACAATTTGCAAGGAATACACAGAAAATATGGGTATTTTGGTATGCTCTCGTATTTCGTAATTTATTGTACAAATTTATATATTAAAAAAAAATTAACGAAGTTAAGCAGTAATAGGAAATTATACATAATTTTTTTTTTCAATAGAAAATACAATTATATTTCAAGTTTTATTTAAAATATATAATTCATAGTCAAGGAAATACATTAAAGCCAAATATTAAAACAATAATAGAAACAATGAAATATTTTTATTAGGGGAAAAATTCTATTTATTATATCGTTATATTTCATAATTTAAACGTAGACTTTTTAAATTTTATATTATATAAAAATTTCCCTTTCTACCTAATAACATTCTTTAAATAAAAAAATTCTATACAGATGATAGGCATTATTTTGTTAAACTATTGATTTTATTGTTCAAATTTATATTGTACGTATTAGAGAATAAAAAAGCCACGTAATAAATAATTAATGTTTATAAATTATTTTAAAAACCAATGAAACTCGAATACAAGAGCCACAAGAAAATTCTAATATAATTTTTGGGAGTGAAAAAAATTACCCCAAATAATAATAATTTTGCTTTATAATGAATTCTATATACACACAACTCTTGAAATATATTTTCTCATCGATAATAACATTATTTATTTATATCAAATTCGAATAGTTTCTTCTTGAAAAATAATACCCATAAATAATTTAACCGCTTTAATTGTCCAAATATACTATGCTATATAAGTAATAAATAACATTTTTTTTTTAATATTTACCACATTACGAATCCCAAAGGTCCTTGCATTTCGTATTGTACCAATATCATAGGACTGAATAATGTTGTGCGTCAGGAACATACCATAAGTCAATCGGGCAAACGGTTGAACCCAACCCGGCGTCAAAATTTTGTAATAATAATCTGTCATAATAAAATGAAAGGTAATTGTGTTAATGAAGCGTAAAACATCGACGATAATAACAGACTTTTTTCATAATGTACTGTTTAAATGAAAATATAATCGCTCGTGGATTAATTATTAACTCGAGACAAATGCAAGTATACATTGCTCGGTAACTTTGAATTTCCGAATCAAATACGTGCGTATGTATTAATTAGTATAGTGTACGATAACGTTCGAGAGGTACACTTTTACGTTTTTATAAAGCTATTATTATTATTAACTGAACCAAAACAAATTTAAATAGCTGATTTTATTTAAATTTTTATTTCAAAACACATGCGTTAGGTGTTAAACAGCTTTAAAGGCTTCAATTCTGTTTCAATTTTACTTATTCTACTTCATTTTCCTTTTGTACATTAACAGTGACTCAATGACAATTAATCTTTCTAATTTAGACTCTTCATGTTTAATGGCTCTTTTTATATTCAAGTAATTGATAGAAATCTTCTTTATAATCAATTATCTTTATAATCAACTCGATTTCATATTGTTACGCGTGTAATCATAGACTTTAAATAGTTTGAATAATTGTTTGTTAATTAGGTATCGACAGATGGTTAAAGAAACATTTATGATTATACAATATATGGACAAAAAAAAAAAAAAAATACATTGTTAATATTTCCATTAATGCTGCTTTGTTATGAAAATATTTTCTTGGCATTTATGTGACAAAAATTATAATGATTGTAAAAATCTTTACCCATACCTTATACGAATCATGAAAAATAAATTAGTTGGCGGTATAATTTAGAGTTTAATGCACGAAAATATAGTTAAATACACGTGGCTCGGCACTGGATAAAACCTTTAAATTGATAGTATTGATAGTTGGAAGATGTGTTGAGTGAGTTTCGAAAGTAATCTATCGATTCGAGATAAAACTAGACTGTTGAATTTTAAAATCAGTGTGGATTAAATATTTACGCATTTGGATGAGATAAAGGAATATTGTGTAATTAAAATTAACAAATATTTGACGAAATTATTTTATAATCTTGTATATTCTGAATTATAGTGTCGCTGCGACTTATCAGTTAGTCCATTTGGACATATATTTATATGACCGCATAAAAACCTTAGGTGAGATAAGAAAAAAAAAAATAATAATAATAATAATGTATGTGTGCGTGCGTACGAATTATAGTATAAAGTTAATACGACGAATTTGATATTTAAGATTAAAATATAAAATTGTATCGAGAGAAAAATGAAATGCCCACGACTGTAATTGATCTTTTGAATACAAATTGCCGTTCGTACACAAACATTTTTATATTTTGACGATTGTGTATAAACGAGCAGTGAATAATTTTGTAATTAGGTCAGTTTGCGTGTATGGGCTCGCACGCGTGCATTATTAAAGCTTGTAATATGAAAATTAATCGATACACGAAAATGAATAAGAGTTGCATCATTGTAGATAAATATTAGCGTAGGACGTAAGCGCATTGATTTTCGGTAGATTTGAAGCTACTCTTTTGAATCCATTATATGAAATAGGATAGAATATCTTAAGAGCATGAAGATAAGCCTTGACGGAGCCAGCGGGTTGCCTAATATATAAGTCATGGTCATGGAGACAAAAATATATAAGTTTTTATTAATGATTTTCAAACATTATTGTTTAAAAGTAGATGCTAGTCAATAATTATATCGACTATATTGCTGAATAAATTTTGAATTATAATTATGATTCTAGTCGTTTACACGAATTTCTTTTAATTCATAAGTTTCATTGCGTGTTAAAGTGTAAAAAAAGTGGTTATAAAAACATTTTACAAATAAACTTGATTTATAAATTTGTAATTTCTTATAAACAGCTAATGATTAAATCGATAGGAGTAGGTAAAAAAAAAAAAAAAAAAAAAAAAAAAAAATTATATGAATCAACTTGTCCATACATATATAACATATTCCTCCTTTAACATTCTTCAAAAAATTATGATACGCGCACTTGATTTTTTTTGTTTTGTTTCAATCATTTAAACGTAATGGCTAATTGAGACGATTTCTCGGGCTTAAATGTGTGTCGGGGAGTGCTTCAATGCGACATTGGAAGTGAATTCGGTAATTCAAATTTTCCAAACGAGTTTTGTAAACATCGCTCGTTACAAATGCTCATTTGTAATAATGATTAATTGACGATCACGCAGCGAATGGATTTTTAATAAAGAGTAATGTTACCTAATCCATCGCCCATAGTAATGAGCAGAACGATGGAGCAGAAGCTGATTGCGAATGCGCCTCGGTGTAAACTGGCATAGAGCGCCGTCTCGAGCAACGAGGTATTTGAGTTGGGATCCAGGTATTGGAAGCCCAGTGATTGTGATGATATTCCCACTACAAATACCAGTAGCAGGAATAAGCTTTGCGACCATTTCTGTAAATGTTTAGAATGTTGTTATGAAGAGGCTCGTGCCGATTTATTATCGAAAAGTATGCCTCGTCAATTCACCTCAATGAAGTTTAAACGAAGAGAGATTAAGGCTATCGGCTGTTGTCTGTTATATATTTATTGTATTAACAGACTCTATTCAGATTAAAAGTTACGAATAATGACTAATTTGAATTTGATAATCGTACGTATCAAAATAAAGTCAATGAAATTTTTGCAATTATAAGGCAAGGCTTTTTCATTTTCAATTTGTATTGATAAAATTTTAAACTAAATTTTAATGTTTATTATGCCGAGTTTTCTCACGGAGTATATCGCTTATCAATGAAGTTACGTTTTGCTCATAACATTTGTCTTATGCGTTTATTGTGTTTTAGTTTCAAATACAAGAAAAGGTACGTATCACTGTTACAATTATCACGATCGTTTAGTCGTATAAATATTTGTCCAAAATATTCCTAAAATATTAATCATTCAATTAAAATTCAAATAAATATTCAATTAAAATTATTTACTCTTATGTATTTTTAGTATGTTACTATTGCTGTTGTTTTTATTATTATTATTATTATTATTATTATTATTATTATTATTATTATTATTATTATTATGTAGGATCGAGATTAAGAGCATAAACTTTGTTATCGCGTTAAATTTATATGGCATATTCTAAAATCTACTGTTTGGTTTGATTTGATAAATGAGAATTATAAAAGTGATATATACGAGGAATATGCGAATAAAACCTTTGCGCCATGAAATTCAGCGATAGTTAAATTTCTTTACATGATCATAATATTCTACATGGGAACATTAATAGCCAATCGATCATGAATTTCATAGAATTTTGTCTATAAGTAAATTATCGTTTCATTATATATAGAAAGGGTAATGGGATCATGGATTATATAAAATTTCATAAAAAAAAGTTTGTCTTTCTTAAACCTTGGATATTCGCCAAGAAGTATTCTCATAGTCGTACAAAATGGTGCCAGCAATAACTCCCACCAAATAAGCGGTCATGCGCATGTATGGCTTTACGTAGTAATTGACAAAGTACGGGTCCATGCTCAGATTAGTTAAGCTGTCAAAATAAAAAAGTCAAGTAATATAATGAAAGTTGTAACGTTGATATTTAGATTGATATGTTATACTGTTTCAATAAGAATAATGTGGACTCGATATAAATAGCTTTGATCTTTTGATAAATTTTCAAATGCATACATCGAAGACAATCGAATAATTAATAATAATAATAGTAATTTATATATAAATTATTTAAAGAAAAAAAAAATTTTTTTTTTACATATATCAAAGAAAAGTGAGTGAATACCACATATGATTAAATCTTCATGATAAATTTGTATTAGAAATTTCAACAGAGCATCTATACAACCTACATAATTATTTAAACATTATTTGGTATTAGATTATTAATATTGTATTGGTAACAATTTTTTTTTTTTTTTTTTTTTACTTAATTATAATATATCTGTATTAACGCTCTCAAAATTCGAATAAATTTTCAACTTATAGCCCGTAAATTTTAAAAGCAAAATAATTACTTGAAGTACCATAGTTTAAAAGTAAGCATACGCAACGATACGCGTGCCTTCATTATTGTCCAATGCCCAGGAAAATTTTCTGTTATTTTCCCAAAAATAGCTAAATTCTTTTCAAGACAGGATACATCTATTAAAGGGGGACACAACTTACTAAGGGAAACCGATGAACATTGGCTGTATTCGATTAACATAAGTAATGTAGAAAGGTATCATTATACTCATAATGGTCGCTGCTCCCAATATTAAATAACCGATTCTCCTCGGCAGCTTCCAAAATGCGAAGACGAGTACTATGTTTAAGAGGTAGCAGTGGAAGTCGACTGTAAGGTACCATGACTGGAATATGCACTGTAACATAACAATAGTATAATATTTATTTTTATATATAGTTTCCATCATGTACGGTATTATAACTAATGGCAGTATTATTATTATTATTATTATTATTATTAGATTGTTAAAAACGATGTTTCGTTTCATTAAGTTTAGTGGTATATATCGCTTATTTAGTCTAACGATATGGAATTAATAAGTCGATGTTAAGATGAAATCGATAAGCAATATAGTTTTTAGTTTAATTATTAATATAAATTATAAATTAATGCAACTATCGAAATAAGCTGATGTAACATTCTAAAGCTTTGTGAATTTTGTTATTAATGATTAAAATGTAAATTTAACACGCTAAGGCTATATATATATATATATATATATTACATTGTTACTATCAAATATTGTTATTGATTAAAAGAAAATTCGGTCAATTCATTTAATAACGTTAAGATCTCATTAAAAAAAAAAAAAAAAAAAAGCAATAAAATTAAATTAATGAAAAGTTGTAAGCCTCATATCATAATTACTCTATTTTTTTTCCTTTTTATTTTATAGCAGATTGCTTCAAGGCAAAATATATGGTTAATTATGCATTTGGTTATTTACGTGTTGTTTATAAGTTGGTGTCGTTTATAAGAAAACTCTAATAACGATAAAGGAGGAAATATATTTTGAAGGCATTAAGCCAAGTATAAATAGTCGAATAGAATTTAAGACTTATTTTCTTCAATAATTGAGAATGAAAATTAATAATACGAGATAGTATAGTAGAATAATATAGTAAAATATCGTACGTATAATGTATATGCGAGTCGTTCCCAAACTACTAATTGCATTCCAATCTACGCTAATAGCCCATCGAGCGTAAATATTATTATCTATATGAAGACTAAAGGAATCACTTAAAATCTTTAAAGAAATTTTTGTGAAAGATTATTGCAAAGTTGTTTTTCATGTACCGAGTAAAAAATTTTGGTCATTATACACGACTATATTGTAGAGCCAATAAATTTTGCTTTCATCCTGAATTGCAAAACTTTATTCATAATCAGTGTTATTTATTAATTGTCTCGATATGGTCAATGGGATTAAAGCAAAATCTCTCAAATATTTTCTAAAAAAATAGCTGACAATTAATGGACTCCTCGTAGTAGGACCCCATGCGTTTTAAAGCCAAAGTAAATATTTTCTTGTTAAATTGGCTATTAAATCGGCTCTTAATTTTACATTTTTAATTCTTACCAATTTTTCCATTGTCATGTAATTATTGAGATACAAGAGGTTCGCCCACCAAGTTGCTGCGCAATTCTTTGACTCGGCGATTATTTTCGATTGCCATTGTGGACCGGAGCCCATGTGTGGAAAGAGATATACGTGAAAGAAGACTAGAAGTGCATAGGCGGGAGTGAATCTGAAACATGTTTACCAATTAGCAATCAATGGAATTGAATAAACTGCTTGGCTTCTGTAAATCAATATGATGATTAAAGTTTCGTATGTAGTGGAATAGCTTAAGTGCAGTTGGATTATTAATTAGAAGCGATTTATTTTCCTTTTAATCGAGCAATTACCTTAGGAAACGAATAAAGGTGAGGCCGAAGAAATTCATTTTCTTGGTTTTGTCGAATTGTTTTAGGAAACCGTAGCAAGTCAAGAGACCGCCGATTGCAAAGAAACCATCGACAATAATTGGCCCATTGTGCAGTACAATGAAGGACGGGATAACATAAGTCTGCAAATAATTAATTTATTTAATAAAGCATCGATTATTATATTATGGCTATTGATTATATTTTGGGAATAGCTTGTTTGTCGCGTTGTGCATTTTTACTCAAAAGTGATTGACGAAATATTAAATTAGTTGTCTTGTTAAGCTTGTAAATACTTGGAGAACACTAATACATTGCGCTATTAGTATTCTTGGCTTAAAAGACGGAGACTACTATTTTTCTTTGTGAAATTCATTATTCTATTTTTATAAAATCCTCTCCTATGCATAATTATAGATTAATTATAGATTAATTATATGATTGTATTAATTGACGTTTATCGTAACGAATGTTTCGCATATAAGCAATAAATATAATATTATGCCTAGAATTAACAATTAATCAAAAAAGTTAGTTCATACCATTATTAATATCCGTTATTTTCACGTGGACGATTAAAAATCCTTAAAATTGAAGTTAAGTACCGATAATAATGAACAATTTGATTCGTCGAATCGACGAAACTAAAGTGTAAAATTATTATCCAATTATCTTTAATAAATATTTTCATTAATATTGTGCCTAATATTGTGCTTATACGCTTAAATTACACTTAAACAATCTTATCAATCAAATTCAGTTCGTTATCAGTTTAATATAATGTATTTTCCTAATATTTCAGAACTGCCGATTAAATTGATCTGTAATTCATATAGATTAAAATCACTGGATTTTTGAACTCACAATAATAACAAACACCGCATTTCTTCATTATTTTTCATTCCTCCGCTATCTAATTATGTCTTGCTCAAGACCTAATGTCAATCCTAATTTAATAATTCAATTTCTAATTAAGATCGAGCGATAATTTCTAATAAATACCACACAAGGCGCAGGTATATCGCAATTCAATTCGATTCACTTCATCATTTCGAAATATTAAACATTTTTCCAATCCCCAATTCACGTTTCTATCCATACGAATAATCGACCATCTTCTTGGCCATTCATGGCAATGTACAATCCATGCACAGTCGCTTGTAAATTCGCGCGAGACAAATGAAACGAAAGATGAGAGACTCACTTTCTCGAGGTGGTACTTATTGACAACGGTGTTCAGGTAATACTGCATCATCCTGTGGCCAAATATCACGAAGGTCATGGTGTAGATGCGCAGAATGTGTATGGTATCGAAGCCACGATGTTTGTAGCTGACCTCGAAGACGGTGCGGAGGTTCCTTCGGGCGGAGAAACAGAGCAGCAGTTGAAGTCCGCGCGAGACAACCGTTTCCTTCTCGTCAGCCCTCAATGTTCCGTCGTACATACTACCCGCGACGACGAGTGCAAATATAATTAGCAGCACAATGCTGAAATGAAATGGACGGGAGACTTCTTTACACATCTATTTAAATTGGCAATTTATTCGTCGTCTGGGACACACGAGTTTCGGAATTTTCTTTTCTCTTTACCGCGATCCTGCTCCTGCTCGCCTCGCTCGATTCTCCGCAGGACTCGTGCAATTCCCTCGGGCATTTTCTAATTTCAATACCGTAAACATCTATTAGCCGATTTTATTATCTTGAAAAGGGCAAATTAATAATTAAGGTACCTCGGCACTCGAAGGGAAGGTCATTTAAAAGGAAACGGATGCCCGAGTAACTACGAGTGTAACGATTTTACGATAAGAAATTGCGCGAAGACGTCGTTTGCGCTCGTTTTTTCATTCTTGAATTGACTTTGCCAAAGTAATCAGAATTATTGCTCGAAAATATACCACCCAATGGACCAAGATAATATATAAAATACGTTTTTTAAGTGTCGAGAATTATCATTGATCGTCTCGCTCTCCTCCTCAATGCACTATTCCGTCAATATAGTCGAGGTCGTTTATTGCTCTTTATTTATTTATTTATTTTCTGCTTGTAAATTATCCGCTCATGTGCCATCGAATCACGGACGACGAATTACGTTTCACGGATAAATTGGGCAACCGGCGGACTCGACTGACCAATAGACGGTGGCGCCCGTTGAAAATGGGATTTCTTCGTGACGGGCCTGGCAGTTCATCTTGTCCACGCTGGCTTTCACGATGAGGTTGTTCTTGGCGCTAAAGTCCTTGTAGGGGCCTTGCAGGGCCTTTTCAACGTCCTCCGCAGTACAGGCCGCGGGTACACAGAGGGCCATTTGCAGCAGGTAGCGCTTAGTGCGTCGGAAGTCGCCCTTTTCCTGCAACGATAATACCTTATCACGCGACTCGTCAATCATCTACTCGACCTTGGTCGCCTCCAAACGCCCATAACCGTACGGCTCGACGGCTATTTCAAATTGTCTTACTTCCAGTCTTTTCGTTCTTTACGATATCCTCGACAATATCCCAGCTACTTACCCAATAAATTCAAACGATGGAATCTCAAATTACTATTGTCTTTTTTGCAAAGTCAAACTTTTATTTGCCTAAAGGTATAGCGCTCGTTATCGCGAGACCGAGATAAACGATCACTGAGAAGCCAATAAAATCTATATTGTCCATTGAGGAAAAATGCCATCCCCTCGCCCACATCCTGCCCACTCCGTGCTTCCAGCAACGGAACGTCGGTCGACAAAAAAAATGTCGAATGTTCTCAAGACTCTAATGTAAAACGCTCTTACTCTGATAGACTCCCAGATGGAGTCGTTGGGGTCGAAATCCAGGTTGAGTTTGCCACGAAAGTCCACCGTCGTGACCCGCTGCTCGTACTTGAAGTCCACGAGACAATATCTACCATGGATATCCTTCGTCTCCATCTCCTGTCCTCGTCTGCTAAAAACTTTTGCATCGAGCCTGTAGCACTGGTCGAAGCTGCCCAAATGTACGGTCTGGCCGTCGACTATTCCGTAAGGATACTTGGCCGAGGCGTCGAACACTACGGAAATTTCGCCACCGATTAGTTAAAATAATAATTGTAGGTAACTATTATTCTCGATCGAATGGAATCGGGGGACGTTGCGCTTTATTGTTTATTGGCCTAATAGTTTTACGATGCCGTGGATAGGCTTGACTGTTAAAGTCGTAAGCTTAAAAGCGACTTGTTTCATTATCATTATCATTATTTGTTATTCTTGAAATATGCAGGCCTTTGTAACTTTATTAATAAGATTCAGTTGTATTGAGCGATTTTGCTAAAACAAGTGCCAATATGCTAGACATTTACACAGCAATTATGTGCAAATAAATAACAGGTAAACGTTCATTTTCTTGGATCTTTAAAGACTCGATTAGTGCCGAAATTTAATGTATATTTCGTTAAAAATATTATTATCATCTATTAAAAGTTCGAGCGCACTTATATTAATGTCAAATGCTCAAATACAAAAATCTTTATTTAACAATTCGGAAATTATAGTAATTAAGCTTACTATATTATTCGATAAATTTCTACGTATTTACAAATGTGTATCTATATTGCATTTTCATTTTGTTATTTTTATTTCCATTCAATATTTATATAGACGATAAATATAAATTATGTGTTTATATGTTAGAAGAGACGTTGCTTTGAAGAAACTTCAAAGTCTGCGAGTGTACGTAAATTTTTGCAGTTTAGAGAAAAAATATTATTAATAAAGAATTGAGTAACCAGTCATTTAAAATGAGACTCGTGTTGTCCTTTTTATTATTAAATTGCAGATGAAAAAATATTTATAAGCAAAATCTCTATCAAGAGTAATAATAATGAATATCGAACAATTCAAAATGCCCATTATCGTTTAAAGAATTTAAAATTTATGTAAAATTTCTAAACGCATACATAAATATTCATCAAAGTCCAGATTTTATGTATAAAATCGTACAGGCTCGTATATGCACGGACACAACTCTATAATCTCATTTCAAGGATAAATCGGTCGCTTAAATTGTGAATTTCAGGCTGCGGTCTAAACTTTTCGGGTACCCTCGCGGGAAAAAAAGTCAGAAAACTTTCTGAATACACGGCAAGTATATTTGTGCGTTTTCATATGTATAAATATTTTTCTATGAGCTCGATTACATAAGCTGCACATTGACCTTCGCGTAGGACTTGTTCGAAAAAGAGAGATTATGATTCAAGACGAGAGTCTGGGATCACTGATGACCAGTCGACGATATCGTCTCTGTGTCCATGAATGACGACCTTAAACCTAAATAGCCAAACACGAAGAGAGTAATTATAATTGCTAAGCCAAAAAAAAAAAAAAAATCCTTTTGGTTTATGTACGATTGGCAAAACTTGTAATTCTATAGACTCGAATGAAAATTTGATTCGCTTTCAAATGGAAACATCGAACATTAACCAAACTACAAACACAAGAATACAAGACAATTATCTTTGTTACTTTCTTTGTCTTATTAGATTTGCATTTAATAAACAAATCAATTTTTCTATTACAAAAAATCGATAACTTACTTTACGAAAATGTTTCTAAATAAATATTACTGGCTAATGCAAAATACTAAATTAATTTTATTGCCTAAATCACCTAATGAGATGATTAAGAAAACACGTATTTTTTTTTAATGATAAATTTCTCAAAAAATTTTTTTAATACATATTTAGAAAAAATAATAAATGATGTATACGAAGATACGAAAGAAGTAAGATAAATTGAAAAACATATTATAACCTTTTAATCTTTTTTGTAGAATAAGTAGAGAA